GGGGGGGGGGGGTAGGTTGACAGAGCAGCTTAAAGATGAAGAAAGCAATGCTGAGAGAAGGGAGGTGTCTTGCCCAAGGTACTAGAGCAAATGAGAGCAGAACAGGGGACTTGAATGTAATAGGGTTCTGAACTCCAATTCAGTACTTTTCCACATCCCATCTGGCTTCTGTCGATGGCTTGCTACTGGTTTTGGTGAAACACAAGAAAAGACTTTCATTTATGAGGGCATGGTGAGTTATGCTCAGTGGAAGAGGCCTGAGAATATCTGAAATCCTTTGGAAAGAAGTTACCTCCACGAGAGATGGTTTTTGGACAGTGTGTGCAAACCAAGTATTTTCAGATGGGTTTTCCCAGCAGTAGTGTTGACGGAAACACTGAGTGAAGCCTTCAGCTGGAACAACTAAAACGCTAGACTGAAAAAGGGTCGGACGGACCGCCCTGGCTGGGGGGCTTAGCTGGCTGGGCACTGGCGGCGCACCGAGAGGCTGCCGTTGGATCCCGTCAGCGCCCACCCGGGCTGCGGGCTCCACCCCGTAGGGGCGTGCAGGAGGCGGCTGATGGGTGTTTCACTTGGACATCAATGTTTCTCTCTTTCCCCCCCTCCTCTCTCTCTAAAAAGAAAAATATTTTTAAAAAGGATGTAAAGCACTGCTGAGCTTGCACACATGCAAAGTTCCACACAATCAGACACTGAACAAAACCAGGAAGAATGGGCTGTATGCAAGTACCAGCAAGAGGATCGACTCAACAAAAGCTGGCTCTCTTTTTTTTTTTAAATATACCTTTATTGATTTCAGAGAGGAAAGAGAGGGAGAGAGAGAGAAACATCAATGATGAGAGAGTCATTGATTGAACCCGCAACCGGGGCATGTGCCCTGACCAGGAATCGAACCCTGATCGCCTGGATCCCAGGTCGACGCTCAACCGCTGAGCCACGCCCAGCCGGGCCAAAGGCTGGTTCTCAAAAAGACTAACAAAGCCGGTAACACTCTGGTAAGACTTTTAAAAAACAGAATGAAAAAATTATTATAACTACACATGCTATAGACAGTAGAATGCTATGACAAACTTCATGTCAATACATTTAAAAATATAGAGCAATTCACAGAGCTGTAACTTTTATTAAAGCTCATTTAGAAGAAACAGAAAATCTAGACAGTTCTATATTCATTAACAAAGTTAAATTTGTAGATAGAAACCTACCCCTCACCAATAAGTAGCAGACCCAGACAGTGTTACTGGTGAATCTGTTTTTGAATGAACAGATTATTTATTCTAATGTTACAAAATCCCTTATAGATTATATATAAAAGAAGAAGAAATCCTTCCCAATTTATTTTATGTGGCTAATATCTTACTTGTAAATACAGATGGAAAGATACTATTTAAAACATTAGGAAACAATAAGTAAAATTCAGTCATTCATTAAAAAAGATAATGTATCTCCAAGTAAGATTTATTCAAGGGGATGTAAGGTTCACTTAATATTTGAAAGTTAAATATAATTTGCAGCATTAATAGATTAAAGAGAAAAACCATGTCATCTCAATATATGAAGAAAATTCTTCAACGTCTATTTAGTATAAAAACTTGGCAAACTAAGAATAAAAGGCAATTTCTTTAACCTGATAAAGAACATATACTGAAAATCTAAGAAAACATCATACTTAGTGATGAACTACTAAAAGTATTTTCTTTCACATCAGGAATAAGAAAAGGATGCCCACTATTATGATTCCTATTCAATACTGCATTGCATCTAGGAAGACCTGGTCAGCGACAAGAAAACAAGTATAAAAGTTGGAAGGGAAGAAACAGAACTGTCATTATTTTTGGCTGTGGTTCCCTTATAGAACTCCTCAAAGTATCTAGAGCTAAAGTAGTACAATTAATGAGACTTTTTAAGTCATGGGATGTAATGTACAGCATGGTGGCCATGACCAATAATACTGTGTTGAACTCTTGAAAGTTGCTGGGAGAGTCAATCTTAAAAACCCTCATCTTAAAAAAAAAAACATACACACAAAAAAATCTTAAACTACATATGGTGACAAATGTTAACTAGACTTACTGTGGTGATCATTTTGCAATGTATACAAATATCAAATAATTATGTTGTACACCTGAAACTAGTATAATGTTATATGTCACACATCAATTAAAAAAAAAAAGGAATTTAGAGAGGTCATTGTGTATAAAAGCAATAGGTAAGAATCCAGAAGTAAACTGTTACACTATTTAAAAATATAAAATGCATAAGTACAAATCTGTGAAAAGATATACAAGCCTTTTGTGCAATAAACTGTAAATTTTTATTAAAATATATTAAAGACCTAAATCAAAGAAGAGATATCCCATATTCTTAAATGGAGAGCTGTCAAATCTCCCCAAACTAATTTATTGACTTAATGCCATTTCAATAAAAATCCTAACAAATTCTTCAAGGAACTTTCTGAGCTAATTCTAAAATACATATGGAAGGAAAAGGGCCAATCACAGGCCAGGCATGCATGGAGAAAGAGAGCGACCTGGGGAGCTTGGCCTAAAGGTTACCAGTGCAGCCCAGACACAATTAATGTAACTAGACCAGTGCAAAGGAAGGGAGGTCCCAGAAAAAGACCTACACACGTAGGGAGAATTGACTTACGATAAAGTAGGCTTGAAGATCAGAAAGGAGGGAGTATTTTAGCAAATAGTACCAGGCCAATAGGTTATTAATAGAGAAAAAATGAAATTAGATCTAGTTATTGCACCATACACCAAAACTCAGCAATACTGGGTGTGATGGTTAGTTTTATCTGTTAATTTGGAGCACAGGGTCCCCAGATATTTGGTCAAACATTATTTTGGGTATTTCTGTGCGGGTGTTTTTTCAATGACAATCCTTCAGCCTAAGACTGGGGCTGGGATACTGGTTCTCCTGTGTCTCTACCCTAGTGGCCCACTCTGCAGATTTTGAACTTGTCAGCCTCCATAACTGCATGCGCCAATTCCTTATAATAAATCTCTTTTTATATAAATATACATCCTATGGGTACTGAAGAGCCCTCCTTAAAACAAAGGGTTTAGAGAATGAATTGTAAAACTAAACTATAACACAATGTTAGTTCTTACATTGCACCAAGAATGCTCAGCACTTTGGAAGACAGGATATGAATTTAAAATGACTGCGGCTAAAACGGGCAAGTTCAAGGGTCACAGGATTTTCCACTGCACAAATTATGGAAAACAACCAAGCTGAATAAACATAAGAGACAGCCATGGTTATTTGTGTAATGATACCAAAAGGAAGTAGAAATTAAAATGGATCAAAAACATGACCACGGAACTGACTTGAGTAAGGAGGAGGGATACGGAGATGAATAATATGAACTACAGGATTAAGAAGATGGAAGTTCATTTATTATTCAATTACTGAAAACATTTCCAGGATGCAGACTATGCCAGGCACTAGGGATACACAAATTAGTAAGACATAGTCCTTAATCTCAAGGAACTCAGAGTTGAGCAGCAAGACTCACATACAGACATTCATAAAACAATGGGGCAGAAGGTGCTGCTGAAGCTCAGGAGTGACGCTCAGCTTCGTCGGGCTTCCTGCTCCTCTCCCTCTATTGTCCCCTACCTTCATCTGTGACTGGAGCCCTGTTATCATCATCACTGGCATGAAACCCTGACTTTAAGTGAAAGGGAAGGTCAGGCAAGCAGAAAATGCAACCACGGTAAAACAATGAGCACATGCAGTAAGATGAACTGAAACAGGGTTATAAATCATGTGGAGAATTTTATAGGACAGAGACTAGAGTGTGGAAAAGCATGGGACTGGAAGCCAAGAGACCTTGATTTTTACATCTGATTAGTCCCCTAAAATAGATGTGTGATACTAAGCAGGCCACTGAATCCTTCTGGGCCTCAGTAATTTTATTTTTACAAAGATCTTTCTGGTATTAAAGCCCTTTGATTTTATAATTTTCAGGGTGCAAAATAGGGAGGGAGAATTTCAGATGTGTCCTATATCGGCAGAAAATGTTCTCTGAAAATGGAAGTTGGTATATAGATTTAAAGTCTAAAGACAAGGAGTGATTGTAGCTGCAAGTGCAGTTTTGAGCAAAATCAGCATTCTTTAGGGTTTACCACGACCTTATAATGTGTTATGTGACCCTCCCATCTGAAATAACGATGGAGCTTTAGGCTAAAATGAAGTGCTTAAGAGTGGACTTGGGACTCAGAAAATGCTTACCTTTCATTAATATGCAACTCTCTCTGTGGCCAAGTGACACTACCCATGTTCCCTAAACCCATCAAACCTCCACTTTCTTGTCTGCAAACTGATATAAAATAATGTCGGCCTCTCCTAGGACAAAGAACTGGTAGGATGACTCAACTGCATAGCATTTGTCCTGCTGTGTAATAATCCTTGATTATATGGCTTTTGTGTACACAGCAGACCTAAGAAATCAGATTTGGCAGTTTGTCTAATAAATCAACAGTATAAATGATAAAGCTACTCCACATGACTTTATTTCAAAATGATTACTCAGTATTAACATTTCATGTTCTCCCTTTGAAAATATCTAAAAACAACAAAAAGAAAAACACTACACCTTGTCTGTGGAAATGAAAAAAATTTCCTTTTGGATGTGTGTAAATTCTGTACATAAGATATCAAAAGTCTTAAAAAATGTGAAAACAGAATTTCTGTTTTGGAAGCAACGTTCTCTTAGAAATAAAAGTTATAAAGTAAAATAATAATAAACAGAAACAGAAGGAACCTAGTTCTAGATGAAATTAGTTAACCAAAAACACTGTACAAACATTGAACAGCCTCACCCACATATGTGCCCCATTCAGGAGCCAAAGCCTCTGTCCCCCCACTACTGTGGGGTTAAAAATGTTGACATGAGCTTCAGATACAAATCTTAGGACTAAAATGAGGTTCTGTTATGCTCCACTCCAAAATTCTGCTTAGCAATAACTTTGCGGGTATTACTATTTTCTAGAACTCATTAAACTCTACGTGCCCTATCGCGGTGATCTGTGAAAAAGGAGACATTCTAGAAATCTGGAGTTATGAGCAGGTTTGACTTTTTCAAGTGCTAAATTCTGCTTTATCTTAATTCTAAGCTGGGCCTTTCTGGGAAGGGAGTACAGGACTTACACTGGGCCCACCTCCGTGCATCTTCAGAGCGCGCACTGTCGCCACCAGCACCACTACGTTGGGCACCAAACCAGAAGCTCGACACTTGATGTTGAAGAATTTCTCCATGCCAATATCAGCACCAAAGCCGGCTTCAGTTGCTGTGGAGAATCAAGTTGGAAACTTGCTATTATCTTCTAAAAACAACAGTACAGGGTTGGGTAACCATTGGTATGCTTCAAATTCAAAGGACAGCTGAAATTCCCGACCACCTCCAGGTTACTGCACAGCACTGCATCTTGTTCATATGCAGAGATAAACTGATATCCCACAGTTTTAGAAAATGTTCTACTTCCTTATGTTCCCTAAAAAGATGGCTCTCTGCTTCACACCGCCATGGCTTAAGGATTCTTTGCCAAGGCCTAGATTTGCCTTCCCAGTGTAGTAACTGAACAAAGCCTTTCTTAACACAGATGAGATTTTCAACTTTTTAATCAGGTCCCAAATTGTATCAAGGCCACTGCCAGCCTAATTACCACAGAAGATCCTTTCTCACTCTTTATATCATACATAGAATCAATCATATTTCAGTGCCTCCCGGTCATTTCTGTTGACTGAAGAAATCCCAGTTAGTTGAGTGGCTTAAGGAGGTTGGTCACTGGGCTTGATATAGGAGAGCATTTTTATTCCATAACCACAGAGGACACAATAGGGTTCAGAACGGGTCTCCCCAGAATGTGCCACCCCAGTAGGTGAACAATTTTGAACTGAAGACGACTGAGGCCTAAAAGGCTCAGGAAGAGCTTTTTACCTCCCTCTAACTATCTAGAGGAATTTAGATAAAGAGCCTGGTCCAGGAAGAGCATCATCCCTACAGATATCTACAAGGAATGTGAGCTAGGTGCGATGAGGGAACTTCACATGGGTTGGAGACCAAGGTCCTCTCTGTGTCCCAGTCTCTGCATGGTCCAGCAAATACTTGTTTTTCCATCTCCACATGAATTCTTCCCCTTTGAAGTCCCAGACCCTTACTCCTCTTTAATTCAGAATGGCACATAAGCCCCAGTCACCTGATTGCCTGTGAGTCCCCATATGTACAAAATTAAACTTGATTTTCTCTTGTTAATCTGTCTTATGTTAATTCTTAAGTCAGCCAGAAGAATTTAGAAGGGTAAAGCAGAAATTTTTCCTTCCAACAACACTCATCTTTAGCAATCCCTTCCCCTACGCCCAAATTGTTAGAAGCATGTAGGCAGCAGAGAGAACATCTAATATTGCCTCCCAAGACCACACTACTGTCACTGGGTCAGGGGACGAGTCCTCTACACAAAGGGAAGCTCTAGGACCAGCAGCACCTGGGGGTGTATAAGCAATTCAGACACTCAGGCCCTACTCCAGACCCGCTGAATCAGAATCAGATCCCTAGGTGAGATGAATGCCCACTGAGATGTGAGAAGCACACACACTGCTCCAGAAAAGCAATACTAACAGAAATGAAGTATTTATGAACTATACTCTATACACTGACAGTACCACCAAGGCGGTAACTTATAGCAGAGATAAGAACTGGCAATAAAAAACTTTACTGAGATAAAATCAAAACATTCAAAATGTGAAAGAATGAAGATGTCTGCCCCCAGCATTCACCGAATACGCACATTTTAACAAAAATCAAGGAACTCAAAATGATAGCATGGCACACAATTTCCACCCTAAATGAATCAACCAGTTCATCTAATTCTTTGTGGTTTCCTCTTACTTAGTATGTCATATGCCCATATAATTTTTATACAGTAGGTATAATTTTGTAATTCTGCTCCCTTACTTTAAAATTATCACAGAGTTTTCTTGCTGTATTACAACTTGCAAAATTTATGACTGTAAGTGGCAGCTTACAATTCTGTTACGTTGATGTACCAAGATTTACAAATTGTTCCCGTTATTGGACATTTGGGTTGTTTCCAATACAAATAATGCTGTGAAATATCTGTATGTATGAGCTTTAGCCTCTTTCAAATTATATTCTTGGGATAAATTCCCAAGGGTGAGAGCACAGGGCCAGAGTATGTAAAAAAGTTTTTATGACTCTTGATATGCTTTGGACAAACTGAAAAATATTCCTTTAAAAATATTCAATTTGGAATGAACATAGCTACAAGTCATCTTTTACTATATTTTTCTTTGAGTACGAGATGTAGCAGAACAGTTTTAAAAAGTAGAAGGAGATCCTTTTTATACAGTATTTGGGACAATTCTAGTGATTTTTTTAGTGGTGGTCAAAACCAGAGGTCACTGACAGTAGCGACCGTCAGTGGTGTCTCTGGTAAAACCAATTCACTCTAGCACGGGGGTGGCATAGTGGACCCCTGACCTCGAGTAGAATCAGTTCACTCCAGCAAGGGGGTGGCACAGTGGACCCCAGACCTCGGGTACAACCAGTTCACTCCAGCATGGGGATGGCACAGTGGACCCCAGACCCCAGAGTAGAAGCAGTTTACTCTAGCATGGGGGTGGTACAGTGGACCCCAGAGAGGAATACTCAGTTGACTTTGTCAAGGGTCATTATAGAGTGAGCTCCCATTCGGGGGGAAAGACAGATGGCAAGGCCATCAATACTGGGTTATTGGTGACTGTCCTGCTGGTCAGTATAAAGAACAGACTAGACAGACAGACAATATCCAGAATTTCTCCCAGCTGTGCAATCTAGGTGAGTTACTGAACCTATTTGAGTCTCTGGGTCCTCACCTGACTTGTTGGGAGGGTTAAAGTGGATACGGATGGGAAGTGCTGAGCTACTCCTTCTCGGAGCACAGTGGGCGCTTACAAAAATGGTCGGTATCATTATCAGAACAGATCTCCCACTTGCTAGAAACCATATTCAATTCTTAAGCATTTGTCGAATTCCTGCTATGTCCAGGCATCTTCCCGTCCCTTCTTTAATTCTTTGTCCAAGCTTCAGCTCAGATGTTCCATTTCCTGAAATCTGCCCCATGCCCTCAGGCAGCCAGCTGCCCCTCCTGCCCTCCTGCCCCAGGTCTGCTCCCCCACAGGCCCACACCTATCTCTGCCTACAGTATTGTAATTAGCCAGAGGTGTATCTCCCACTTGGCAGGCAGCGACTCTGACTCATTCACCTTTGTATCTCCAGGACCCAACACTGTGCCTGGCACATATAAATAAATGAATTAACAAAGATGTGAAGAAACTACCACAGTGGGACGCGGTGCCAATAACCATCTAAAGTAAAGGCGATCACTAAATGGAGATAGGCAGATAGACACGCAACACAGAATTAAACAGAATTAAAAGTGTTCTTATGCCTCCCTAGCAGACTTCTTTTCTCGTTAAATATGGAAGTTTTAATAAAAGGTATAAATGCCAGGTCTGATAAAGATAGGCCACCTTATATGTCTAGATAGGCTAAGTTTAAATTCATATTTTGAGAGACAAATTGGAAAAAAAAAAAGTAGTAACAAAGAGAACTTCAGTTAGGGAAGAAAACAGGACGCAGTAATAAAGATTTAGGAACTGTGGCTTCCAAATACAAAGGAAATACGGAGGCAAATCATATGAAGAGAACAGAAGTGCCAAGTTCTTTTACTTCGAAAACTGTTGTGCAATTCTGCAATCAGCATGTTATTTGCTTTCAAATGATCAGCCTACTAAAGAATAGAGAGCGTGGGAAAGGTAAGCTGATGTGCAATTGCTAATTATGAAAGTAAGCATCCCTTAATAAGGAGCCATGGGCAAGTATTAACTTGGAAACAGGCACAGTGGAATGCCCTGTATCTGTGTCTTAGAACCTCTGGGCGTCTTGATGTGAGAAGGGGACAAGCCACTCTTATTGGCAGGCTCTGTTTTCTAGGCACTTCTAGGAATCGTCACGGAAAACCTGCAAGTTAAGTTTTCCTAGTAACCTGAAACAAGCATGTATTCCCTTATTGTAGTTGCTGCTCTTAATACATTTAGATGCGGGCTGAAGAAGTATTTAATGTTAATTTTAATTATGACTTGTTCTTGAGTCACGAAGCAAGCACACTTGCTATGACTTAGCATTCCTGAAAAGCATGTAACGTAACTTCTGAGAGCTGCCTATTTAGAAAGGCTTGCAAGGAAATGTCTGCCCATGCCACAACAATTATTTGTCTTGGCAGTCTCTTTTATGCGGGGGTGGGGTGGGAGTGGGATAGTACAGCTAGTCAACTTAGGGCAGGAATGAGAACAGGAAACACTGATTTACTGTGTGAGCACAGAAGCTATTAAATAGCAATTCTGTAGCATGACTTGATTCAAACTTAAAATCCACAATCTGCTCAGAAAGGAAGTGGCGGTGGGTCTGGGTGGGGAGGGACTGATTCTGTGGACAAACACTGTTAGTAATTGCACAGGAAACAGAGCCCTGGGTTCACTGGAGAGTAAAAAGCAATACCGGACAACCAGGCGGCTGCCTTTCCACGCTGATCTGCTAGGGCACCCTAAATCATATTGTACAAACTGAACACAAACAGCAACACTCAACAACTACGCACTACCGGGAGGCACATATGATATTAGTGAAACTCTTCAGTGAGGCAGAGATGTTTTTCATACCTTGAGTTATTCTATCATGTCCCCAACTTGCAGTACACATAGAAGAAAACTTCAGTGACCATTAGGAATCAGATATCAACAATTGGCTAATTTTTTAAAAAAGCATTAACATCATCACCTCATATAGGCGGGCCCTATAAATTATGGGTTCATAAAATTTTAGAGCCATAGGAGAAGTCACCTCCTCGGTGCTCCTATGTGTCGAGCAAGTTACCTCCCTGAGATAAGAGCCCACCGTGGCGTCCCAGATCCCACAACTCTACTTTCTGAATCACGTACCTTCTACCACTTGGTATCTACTCAAAAGCACTTCTGATTCAACACATGCTGGTAAATATGAATTTAGTTCTGTTTCACATTTCCTTCTGAACGGTCTCATGCTCTAGTACATTTACTGATCCATTTCTATAGAATTACAAACCATAAGTGTAGGTCAGTGGTTCTCAACTGGGGACAATTCTGCTCCCCAGGGACATCTGGCAATGTTGGGAGATACTTTGGGTTGTTGTAACTGGCATTTAGTAGGTAGAGGTTTGAGATGCTGCTAAACATCACATAATGCATGAGATAG